CCCCCCCCGACCTCCAGCCTCAGTTTCCCTGGGCGGGTCTTGCGCATCCCTGCGCGCCCCTCCCCCGCCAGCGCCGGTCAGCGGGTCTCCCGGGGGCTCAGGCTGCGCGTCCCCGTCTCCAGCGCGGCTTTGTCCCCCTGCAGCCGCGGCCTGTGGCGCCCGCGGCACCATGATCTCCACCAAGGAGAAGAAAACCCCCAAGGACAGCATGACGCTCCTACCCTGCTTCTATTTCGTGGAGGTGAGAGGGAGTCGCGCTCGTGGGGGCGGGGAGGCCTCAGTTTCCCCGGCCTCAGAGACCCCCATGCTGGACGCAGAACCCGGTGCCTGGGGAAAGGGGGGCGGGTCAGAGGAGGTGGGCTCCGTAGATCGAGGAGGAGTTTCAGGGGCGGAGAAGGCTGCTGTGGGAAACTGCGGGCAGGTGCTGGGAGGTGGGACCCCCTGCCTGGGGTGCTCGCCTGGAGGGGCTGGGGCTGCTGGGGCCAGCGGTGGGTGGGGCTGGTCCAGGTGCAGAGTTTTTCTCCAGCACTTGGGCGGCGAATCCAGAGGGCCTGAGTTCAAAACCCGTGTCCTGCTACTTGCCAGGCTGGTGCAGAGCCCCCAAGCTCTCTGAACCTCAGCTTCCCCATTTGTAGAATGGAGCTTATGGGAATTAATATTTACCAAGTACTAAGGACTGGCCAGGCACACAGCGAGCGCTTTAAGAATGTTTTAAGGGCCAGCCCGGTGGCTCACTGGAGAGTGCGCCGCTTGGGAGCGCGGCGGCGCTCCTGCCGAGGGTTCGGATCCCATGTGGAGACGGGTTCCCGCTCACTGGCTGAGCGCGGTGCGGGCTCAACACCGAGGGTTGCGATCCTGTTGCCGGTCCCCGGTATGGGGCGCGACACCAAGGGCTGCGATCCCGTTACCGGTCAGTAAAAAAGACAAAAAGGAAAAAAAAAAGAATGTTTTAAAAATTGGAGCTAGGGCTGGCCCTTAGCTCCATGGGTTAGCGGCAGGTGTTTTAACACCAAGGTCAAGGGTTCAGATCCCTGTACCAGCCCGAGGCCAGAAAAAGAAAAAATAAAAGACAGATGCAGCCAGCTGGCACATTCTCAGTGCTCTGGATGGCCGAGGTGGCATTTAGCCATCCTTGGATGACATTCCAGGAAAAGCCAGCTCTACAGAGGGGTCTGGGCAGGGCCCCCAGTCCTGAGGAAACCGAACCCATGACCTCATCCCCAGGCAACTGGGTCCCTCCCCAACAGGCAGTACCACGATGTGAATCTGTTTTTCAAAATTGCATTTAAATTCTCATTAGGATGGGTTATACCTGTTCAAGTTTCCAATGTCAACACGGAGGTGGCACCCTCCCCCAGAAGTCCCCCTGCCTGCAACCCCCATTTTCATTTTTTGTGTCTTTAAATCTTTTCAGGAATTGCTTTATGTCCATTCTTTGCTGCCCCACACCCCTGCATCTTTTGTGTGTGTGGCTGGCCGGGACAGGAGTCGAGCCCCAAACCTTGGTGTGTTATCAGCACCACGATTTAACCAACTGAGCTAACCGGCCAGCACCCTCCCCCTGCTTTTTAAATGACAGTGTCTGGTGACTCACTTGGGAGAACGTGGTGCTGGCAACACCAAGTCAAGGGTTAAGATCCCCTTACCTGTCATCTTTAAAAAAATAAATAAATAAAATAAATGACAATGTCTGTCCTTGGCTTTCTTCCAGTGGACATCTTTGCTTAGTGTCACATGCGAAGGCACCAGTCCTTTTTCACTGCCTTATAGTGCTCTGCTGTCAGTGCGTCACCCCCAGGAGCTGGGTGCTCGGGGTGTTTCCTAACCGTTGGTCCTCACAGACGTTCCTATAACAAAAGCCCTCTGGCCCGTGTCATCTGGCATAAGAGTGAATTTGCCTGTAGGGTAAAAGCGCAGGAAGAGCGAGTCTTGGGAAGCACCGTTTGGTCACTTTGGAATAGACCCCCACGTTCCTGCCACGGCTGCAGCATTTTACGTGCCATGTCTGTGTCTGTTTATCCACAGTTGCACCAGCACCGTGTGTTAGCAGCATTTTGGATTTTGACCAATCTCACGAGTGAAAAACCTGTATTGTGTTTCTTTATTTTTCTTCTTTGGGTGGCTGGCGTTGACCTTGGTGTCGTCAGCAACATGCTTTCCCAAGTGAGCTAACCAGCCGTCCCTGTATTGAAGTTCTAATTTGCATTTCTTTTATTATGTCTTACATTAATTTTTTTTTCTTTTTTTAAAAGCGCACACACAAAATTAAGCATGTTGGCAGGATATGTGTTTGTAAATAATTTTCCTCTGGACCCGATGTGTTCTCAGGTGTTCATTGTTTTTGGCTGAGGGTCTCTGGAAGAAACAAGAAGGGGATGGAGGGGATTAAGGAGGTACCTACAACCCTCCAGGGGTGGTGGGTTCTGATGTGGGGCCCTGCCCTGGCCCCTCCCCAAGCCTGGCCGTGAGTACATCTGTCTCTATGGTGGTCCAGCTTCCTCCACCTGCCCTCCCACAATCCGTCCTCCCCACCAGCAACCAAAATCAGATGCTGCCTCTCCCTTACTCCAAATCCTGCTGTGGCTCCCCAGTGCCTGGAGGATCCCTCCCTAGGGTCTGGCCCTGCCCACCCCTCTCTCACCCGTGTTAACAAGCTTAATCAGCAGATGCTCACCAGGCATTAAAGCTACGGCTACGCTTCCCTGAGACTTGGAGAGTCATTGGTAGGAGTGAAAGAGAATTTAAAAACTACCTTCTTGCTAAAGGATTTAATATTTTTAATGCTATACCCAGGCCCCACCTCAAACTGTTCCTGCGGCTCGATGCTGTCTGCTGGCCCCAGCCAAATCAAGCAGATGATAATAATGGAAATAATACTGCAGCTCATATTTGCTAAAGGCTTTATGTGTGCCAGGCACTGTTCTGAGCTCTTTCAATTTAATTTCTCATCTAGTTCTCACACAGAGCCCTAGTAGGTACTACTTTAATATTCACGTTTTGCAGCTGCTGAAACTGAGGCACAGGGAGGTCTACCAGCTGTCCACGGTGGAACCAGGATCCCAGCCCAGGCAGACGCTGTCACCTCAACCTTACTCATCTGCCCTAGGCCTCATGCCTGCATGTAGCAGGTGCTCAATAGATGCTCCTCGGACATGAACCCAGCTCCTTTGAACCTGATTTTGCTCTAGGATGTTCAGTTATGGCGTTTCCCCTCCTGGGATGTCTGTGTCCTGCCCTGTGCCCTCACCTGGGCTGGACCAAGGGCTGAGGCCCCTCCTAAGGCACCGTCCCCAGGCAGGGGTTAAGACTGGGTTCTGTCATGGGCTTCCTGTGACACCTGGTAAATAACAGCTCAGGTAATCAGTTTTCCTGAGCTTCAGTTTCCCTGTCTGTAAAAGGGGGTGACGAAGCTTAGTTCATCCCTCATGGGGTGGTGTGAGCATATAGGAACATAACGCGAATGTGTGTGCCCAGCACATGGGGGGCACAAAACCAGGGTGGGCACAAGAACAGATGCACGAATGAGTGACTTGACCAATTCGTTCATTCGCTCAGCACCTGCTATGTGCCAGAAACCATCCTCGGGGCTGAGGGTAGATGGGCACGTGGGGGAAGGGTCCTGGGAAAATAAAGCAGTGAGGGACAGAGAAAAATGGGGGCCGGGTGGGGATCCTCTGAGAGGGCCGGGAACCAGGTGGGAGTCTAAGGGCAGCAAGTCTCAGGCAGGAAGAAGTGGGCAGGGGAGGAACCCAGAGGCAGGAATGTGTTTGCTATTCTAGGTGTTTTAAGAAGGTGAGAGTGGCTGGAGGGAAATGAATGAAGTGGAGGGATGGTTGGGTGGATGTGTGGGTGGATGGTGGGTAGGTGGATGGATGGTGGATGGATGGATGGATGGTGGATGGATGGATGGTGGATGGATGGATGGATGGATGGTGGGTGGATGGATGGATGGATGGATGGATGGTGGATGGATGGATGGACGGATGGAAAGATGGATGGATGGATGGATGGGTGGATGAGCGGATGAATGGATGGAAAGATGGAAGGATGGATGAATAGAAAGCTGGATAGATGATGGGTAGATGGATGGATGGGTGGGTGGATGGATGGATGGTGGATGGATGAATGGATTGGTGGGTGGATGGTGGATGGATGGATGGACGGATGGAAAGATGGATGGATGGATGGATGGGTGGATGAGCGGATGAATGGATGGAAAGATGGAAGGATGGATGAATAGAAAGGTGGATAGATGATGGGTAGATGGATGGATGGGTGGGTGGATGGATGGATGGTGGATGGATGGATGGATGGATGGATGGTGGATGGATGGATGGATGGATGGATGGTGGATGGGATGGTGGATGGATGAATGGATTGGTGGGTGGATGGATGGATGGTGGATGGATGAATGGATTGGTGGGTGGATGGATGGATGGTGGATGGATGAATGGATTTGGATGGAGGGATGGATGGATGGATGGTGGATGGATGGTGGATGGATGGATGGTGGATGGATGGATGGATGGATGGTGGATGGATGGTGGATGGATGGATGGTGGATGGATGGATGGTGGATGGATGGATGGAGGGTGGATGGATGGATGGTGGATGGATGGATGGATGGATGGATGGTGGATGGATGGTGGATGGATGGATGGTGGATGGATGGATGGATGGATGGTGGATGGATGAATGGATTGGTGGGTGGATGGATGGATGGTGGATGGATGGTGGATGGATGGATGGTGGGTGGATGGATGGATGGATGGATGGTGGATGGATGGATGGATGGTGGATGGATGAATGGATTGGTGGGTGGATGGTGGATGGATGGATGGATGGATGGTGGATGGATGGTGGGTGGATGGATGGATGGATGGATGGTGGATGGATGGATGGATTGGTGGATGGATGGTGGATGGATGGATGGATGGATGGTGGATGGATGGATGGATGGATGGATGGTGGATGGATGGATGGTGGGTGGATGGATGGATGGGATGGATGGATGGATGGATGGATGGATGGATGGATGGATGGATGGATGGATGGATGGATGGATGGATGGATGGATGGATGGATGGATGGATGGAGTGGATGAATGGATGGATGAATGGATGGATGGTGGGTGGATGGATGGATGGATGGATGGTGGATGGATGGATGGATGGATGGGATGGATGGATGGATGGATGGATGGATGGATGGATGGATGGATGGATGGATGGATGGATGGATGGATGGATGGATGGATGGATGGATGGATGGATGGATGGATGGATGGATGGATGGATGGATGGATGGATGGATGGATGGAAATGGATGGATGAATGGATGGATGGATGGATGGATGGATGGTGGATGGTGGATGGATGGTGGATGGATGGATGGATGGTGGATGGACGGATAGATGGATGGATGGTGGATGGGTGGGTGGGTGAATGGATGAATGGGTGATTGGATGTGTGGGTGGAGGGTGGGTGGGTGGGATGATCTGGGGGGTGGAGAAATTCAGGGAGTGATGAGTTAATTCTCTGGTGTGAGGACGGCTGTGCCGCCGGCTGGATCTATGGGTGGATTACACAGGTGTGTGAGCAAGTGTGGATGGGACTGAATTCATGAGGGGTGGACAGGTGACCTAAGGAGGGATAGTGGGGTGACGGTGGCCGGCCATCTCCCCGCAGCTGCCCATAGTGGCATCCTCCATCGTGTCCCTGTACTTTCTGGAACTGACCGACCTCTTCAAGCCGGCCACAGTGGGCTTCCAGTGCTACGACCGCGCGCTGTCCATGCCCTATGTGGAGAGCCACGAGGAGCTCATACCCCTGCTCATGCTGCTCAGCTTGGCCTTCGCTGCCCCCGCTGCCTCAGTGAGTACCCAGCACGCGGGGACCTCGGCCAGCCCGTGGGGCCCCTGGCCTGGGGCCCACCTGAGCACCTCCCTGTCGGGCAGATCATGGCCGGCGAGGGCGTGCTGTACTGTCTGCAGTCCCGGCTGTGGGGCCGCGGCGGGGGCCCGGGCGGGGCCGAGGGCAGCATCAACGCCGGCGGCTGCAACTTCAACTCCTTCCTGCGTCGCACCGTGCGGTTTGTGGGTGAGTCACCCGCAGTGCCCCGACTCTGCCCTAAGTCCACGCACAGGGGCCCCCAGCTTCCTCGCCTGGCCCTGACCCTCCTGCCCTGCAGGCGTCCACGTGTTTGGCCTCTGTGCCACGGCCCTGGTGACCGACGTCATCCAGCTGGCCACCGGCTACCACGCGCCTTTCTTCCTCACCGTCTGCAAACCCAACTACACTCTGCTGGGCACGTCGTGCGAGACAAACCCCTACATTACGCAGGACATCTGCTCTGGCCAGGACACCCATGCCATCCTGTCTGCACGGTGAGCCGACCTTCCAAGCCCCCTGGCCAGGAGCGTTATGACCCCCCACTCCTGCAACCCCAATGAACATGGGGAAACCAAGGCACAGAGAGGGGCGGGGGCCCTAGAGTGGGCGGGGCTCATGCTGGACGCCTTTTACAGGAAGACCTTCCCGTCCCAGCATGCCACGCTGTCGGCCTTCGCCGCAGTCTACGTGTCGGTGAGTCCAGCCCCCGGCCCTTGCCCGTGGCCACTGGCCCATGGGAGCCCGCCGCCGTCCTGACCCGCCCCGTCCCACTCTGTCCCCAGATGTACTTCAACTCGGTCATCTCAGACACCACCAAGCTGCTGAAGCCCATCCTGGTGTTCGCCTTTGCCATCGCCGCGGGGGTCTGTGGCCTCACCCAGATCACACAGTACCGCAGCCACCCCGTGGACGTCTACGCAGGCTTCCTCATCGGTGCCGGCATCGCCGCCTACCTGGTGAGTGGCCGGGTCTGAGGGCGAGGTCTGCGGGGGGAGCTACAGCCTCATCCTAGGGGACTCTGAAGGGTCTCATCTCTTGGGATGTTGGGGTCGGAATGTCATGGGCTCAGACTTGAGCAGTGTCAGTGACCTGGAGGCCTGAATTTGCTCCCATGGGGAAAAGTTTGGGTCCCCAGCCTCACGCCCGGCCTGTGTCCCCCAGGCCTGCCACGCGGTGGGCAACTTCCAGGTCCCGCCTGCAGAGAAACCAGTGGTGCCCGCACCCACCAAGGACGCGCTGCGGGCCCTGACCCAGCGGGGCCACGACTCGGTTTACCAGCAGAACAAGTCGGTGAGCACGGACGAGCTGGGTCCCCCGGGGCGGCTGGAGGGCGCGCCTCGGCCTGTGGCCCGCGAGAAGACGTCGCTGGGCAGCCTGAAGCGGGCCAGCGTGGACGTGGACCTGCTGGCCCCGCGCAGCCCCATGGGCAAGGAGCACATGGTGACCTTCAGCAACACGCTGCCACGCGTGAGCACGCCGTCGCTGGACGACCCCGCCCGCCGCCACATGACCATCCACGTCCCGCTGGATGCGTCACGCTCCAAGCAGCTCATCAGCGAGTGGAAGCAGAAGTCGCTGGAGGGCCGCGGCCTGGGGCTGCCCGACGAGGCCAGCCCGGGACACCTGCGGGCACCTGCCGAGCCCATGGCGGAGGAGGAGGAGGAGGAGGACGAGGAAGAGGAGGAGGAGGAGGAGGAAGAGGAGGAGGAGGGTCCCGCCCCGCCCTCGCTCTACCCCACGGTGCAGGCGCGGCCAGGGCTGGGGCCTCGGGTCATCCTCCCGCCACGGGCTGGGCCGCAGCCGCTGGTGCACATCCCCGAGGAGGGGGGGCAGGTGGGGGCTGGCCTGTCCCCCAAAAGCAGCGCTGCGGTGCGTGCCAAGTGGCTCATGGTGGCTGAGAAGAGTGGGGCGGCAGCAGCTGCGGCCCCCACGCAGCCCCGAGTGGCCAACCCGCCGCGGTTGCTGCAGGTGATCGCCATGTCCAAGGCCCCGGGCGGGCCCGGCCCCAAGGCGTCCGAGACGGCCTCGTCCTCCAGTGCCAGCTCCGACTCCTCGCAGTACCGGTCGCCATCAGATCGCGATTCGGCCAGCATCGTCACCATCGATGCGCATGCACCCCACCACCCCGTTGTCCACTTGTCTGCGGGCAATGCGCCCTGGGAGTGGAAGGTGGCAGGTGGCGGGGCCAAGGGCACAGAGGGCGAGGGCGGGTACGAGCTGGGGGACCTGGCACGCGGCTTCCGCGCTGGGGCTAAGCCGCCAGGTATGTCCCCCGGCTCATCCATCAGTGATGTGGACCAGGAGGAGCCACGATTCACGGCTGTGGCTACCGTCAACCTGGCCACAGGTGAGGGGCTGCCTCCCCTGGGCGCGGCTGACGGGGCGCTGGGGTCAGCCAGCCGCGAGTCGACGCTGCGGCGGCAGGTCCTGGCACTGGGGGAGCGGGAGGTGGGTGAGGCGGAGGCTGAGAGCTACTACAGGAAGATGCAGGCCCGCAGGTTCCAGGACTGAGCCGCCAGCCCAGGACGGGAGGTATTTATCAGGCATCCGCAGGCCATGGGGGGATAGGGCATGGCAAGGCCAGGGTGGGTGGGTGGGCAGACCCCAAGGACTGGGGCAAGGGTGGACAAGGCTGGGGGTACAGCACTCTGTGGTCGAATCAATAAAAAGGCTCATAGACAAATGTAGGCTCCCAAGTTGAGTCATTCAGTGTGGATGGCAGCAGCTGCCTCAGGAGTGGGCATGAGCTGCCACTCTGGGGGGCTTCAGGGACTGAGGGAAGAGGCCACGCCCTCAAGCTGGGTGGAGTGATGTCCTGCCACAGGCACTGCGTCTCAGGTGTTCAACTCTCCTGCTGCTGCAGAGCTGCCAGGCCTGGGCCCTGTGCAGCCCAGCTGGACATACTCCTGACCCTGAGAAGAGGATCTTGGGGCACAAAGTGGGGTGGGCGGGGGTCGAATACCCAGCCCAGGGGGACCAGGGCTTTGTTTCAGGGACAATCTGCCGGACCCCAGGACTAGTGCCCATGGGGGCAAAACCAGGGCCCTCAAGACCCCCAGCTGGAGAAGCGGGGGGAGGAGGAGGGGCTGAGTTCACATGAGGACACAGCAGTGAGGACGAGGCCCAATGATGAGGGGAATCGGAAGCGCAGGATACAGATGAGTTTATTAAAGTCCAGGTACAGACTGGCCAAACCGCCTTCCACAATGGACAGCAAAAAAGAGGTCTACAGAGGAGGTGGAAGTTTGTTATAAAATGGTTTTAATCGAGTTCTTTCTGCATTACAAGCCATCTGGGCTGAGCAGTGGACCGCGCGGTGGCCACTGTTTGCTCCGTGGTTACAATACTGAGCCTGTAATTGCTGGTATCAAAATATACATCTGCATCACCATAAAAAACGTGCTTTGCTGCCCCTCGTGTCTCTCAACAGGTATAAAAAATTATAAATATTTACACCCTCGTTACACTCCTGTATGGAAACTTGGGATCCAAGGAGCCCCCCCACTGGAGGGAGGGCGGGGAAAAAGAGGACAGTTAAGACTTGACGTCAGTCCCACCACCGGGGGTCCCAGCATCAGAGGCAGACAAAAAACGAAACAAAACTTTGGTCCAAAATTTGCAGGAAAAAAAGAACCCTGAACACATCTAGCACGCTTGTTTTCTAGGCAGACTGCGAGTGGGGTGTGGAGTAAGGCAACTGGCTGGGCACAAGGAAGGCAGGTGGCCCCCAAAGCGGGGGTTCTGAGAAGGGACCTGTGAGCCGGCCCCGCCTGCTCTCTGGAAACTGGATCCTGCCTGACTTAATTATAAGGAATAAAATAAAAGTACAGTATACAAGAAATATCACAAGGAGAAATTTAGGTTACACTCATACCATTGTATCATCTTGCTATAAAAAGTTACTTAAAACTATTTCTGTTGCATATAAATGAAAAAGATTAGAATATTTGGTCGTCTGGAAACTGCTACACACAGCCGTCTGCAGCTGTGTCAAAGAGGAAACACAGGCTGCAGCAAAGCGCTCCAGAGCTGAAGCAGCCGGGGACGCACCCTCGGGCCTGGGCTGCGTGGGGGCACCTGGTCACTTAGAGACAGAGGAAACACAGGCTGCAGCAAAGCGCTCCAGAGCTGAAGCAGCCGGGGACGCACCCTCGGGCCTGGGCTGCGTGGGGGCACCTGGTCACTTAGAGGTGGGACGGGGAAATCATGTCACTTGATTAAAAGGATGGGGAGCTGGGCAGATTCTTGCCAGCAGGCACATGATCCTGCAGGAGCCCATGGGCCGCTCCACCACGACCCAAGCTTGGCCCGTCCCCTTGCTTCCCCAGAAAGCCCACAGGATGTATGGCCGCAAGGCAGGCAGGTTTTTAAGGCACAAGAAAGCCGCGCCGCAATCTGGGGCATCCCACAAGGCACGGCCACGGGTCTGGCCCAGTGTCAGGCGGTGGACTCCTGCCACCAGTCACCAAGAGCCTGAGCTGTCACCCATCCCTGCAAGGTCAGCAAGGTGAACTAGACTTAATTTTTTTAAAAACAGGTAAACTGATTTCTCTTTAAAAAAATAAAATCTCTGGTCTGTTAAGGTCACTTCAGCTGCGTTTTAAAGTGGCTTTTTTCTGGAATGATGGAAGTTGTGGCCGGGGAGCCCCGCCGCGGAGTTCCCGCGCCTCCTAGATGGTGGACTTGGAGAAGGAGACCCGCAGGTGGTGGTTCTCGCCCAGGTCGTGGTTGTGCAGGTCAATAAGCGCCTGGACCGCCTCCTCCACTGAGCCCATCTGGATAAGCGCCATCTTGCGGTCCTTCCTGCAACATGTGGAGTCAGGCCCAGCATCTGGGGAGGGGAGGGGGCGGGGAGCTACCAGAGTGCGCCCCATACTCACTGGAAGAATTTGAAGCCTTTAACGACCCCCCCGTTACTGGAGAACAGAATCTTGAGATCTTCCTCGGATATGGAGGGCCTGTGGGAGACAGGGGTTGTGAGCCAGGGGCCTGGGGACAGCCAAGTGACTTCCTCCAGAGCACATTCTCAGAGCAGCCTCCAAGAAACTAGATGCCTGCCAGGATCACTCTTCTCACCCATTTTTGTTTTGTGAACGTTTCATACAAAATGCTGCTTTCGTAAAATGTGAGATTTACTGTCTTGTGACTGCTAAAAACCTGTGCCCACCCCACCAGCGCAGTGGCTGCCAGGACTCACGGGATGTTGGAGAGGTGCAGGGTGGCCGAAGGTGGGAAGATGTTCTGGAAGTTCTTGGAACCTGGCTTCTTGAAGCGGTGCAGGGGCGAGTTGCCGTAGTCCTTGGTGAGGCCCTGGTCCTCCTGGCCCTCACGAGGCAGCTGCACGTTCTGGTGCTTTGACAGCGTGATGCGGATAGGCTTCCCGTGCAGTTTGTGCCCGTTCAGGTGGCTCATGGCTAGGGACAGCAGGGGAGGTGTGACCGGGTGCCCCACAGCCACCCTGCTTACCCGCACCCTGGTCTCTGCCCACTGGCCCAGCCTCTTACCCAGCTGGGCCTGACTCCCATCTGCCATCTGCACCAGGGCATTCTCCTTCTTGTTGAACAAGATCTTCACCCGCTGCACGTCACCATAGACGCCTTCAAAAGTCCAGGGACAAGGGGCCTGAGTCTCCCGCCAGCCCCTCCCATCTGCCCACCAGCCTGAGACCCCACACCCCTCAAGGCTCGGCTCAGCCCGCCGGGTTTGCTCGGCTGCTACTGGGAGCCTGCGACTAGCAGCCTCAGGGCACGCTCACAGGAGCACTAAGTTCCGCAAAAGTCATAAAATCCAGGACAGGTAAATTGCCAAAGAATGATCACTTTAGCATGCTACCAACATGTTTAACTCTTCGAAAAGCATGCAGGGTGGTAAACCATGCGGATCTAAGGGACCAAAAATAAAATACGCAAACCGAAAGCAAACCATATAACGAGGCAGAACGCCACAGTGCATCAGAGTGCCAAACTGCAAACTCATAGTACGTCTTAGGGCGTAAAATAATCTCAATTAAATGAAAACAAGGTAATAAAAGTGTGAATGATAACATACCGAAAAGAATAAAGAGGCTTTGGGGTGTGACTCTCTTTAGAGGACAGCAGAGCAAGGCAGCGAAGGGACAGGGGAGAGGGAGAGGTCAGGGGCGAGTGCCCATCGTCCACCACGAGGAAGACAGTCCCCGCAGGCGTGCAGGTTGATGGATGATGAAGTTGTCAGGATGTTAATATTCAAGGGCAGGTTGGTTTCCGGAGAGCAGGGTTTGAGGGGGAATTGTTTTTATTTATTTATGTTTTTGTTTTGTTTCAAGCAACAACAGGAAGCAGAAGAACCGTGCAGTCAGTTGGCAAAGAAATTCCGGATCAGGGCAAGAAAAAAAATTGGGAAAGGGGAAGGGGAGAAAAGAAAAAAAGTAGCAAAAAACACAGGTCAGTAAATACGTAAGGAAACAACGCAGTGTCCACCAGTCACGCGCGCCACACACATCACAGGCTCATGGGCTCTCCCTCGTGGAACACGGCGATAAAGAAAAGCACCTCTGCTCCGACAGCGCGGGGGACAGTACTGCTCAGGCGGCTCCAGGAGGGCTGAACCCCACACTGCCCCCACAGGCGAGGGGCCCACCACAGCAGTCCTGTCGCCCTCCACTGCGGCAGACAAGTCTCCACACGACTACACAGCAATGGAGTGAAGTTTGAGTCTGTTAGTTCAGGCTTCACTACACATCTAGCCCAGGAGGAGCTGGGCGGACAGCCAGAGCTCATCGCAGGAGGCAGGAGCCTCAGGAAAGCCACAGGAGTCTCAGACAGATAAAGAACATGGTCTGAAATGCTGACCGAACACTCCTCCCATCCGTCAAGAGTTAAATATTTTGAGCCTTTACACCTTATCCAAGTTGTCCCCAGCCAAATTTATTCTGATGGATACAAGTTCACTATTTAAACACCTGTTGCCTCTGCCTGTAGCCTGCAGGGTGTCCTTGCCCCAGCAAGGGCCCTGTGACAGGCCACCTGTCTGGCAGGGTCTGCTTACATACACTGTGCCCTGCTCGGCTCCCAGTTAATTTTAAGATTGCCTTCGTGGAACAAGAAATATTTCAACTCTCAATATCATAGAATTGAAAATGCAAATCAAGATGTTAAGGAAAATAGGAAAACTCAAAGCAATCTTGGGAAAGGAGAATGTGAGTGCCATCAGCAGAATGGGAGCTGCAGGAGGACAAGGTGCAGACAAAGCGGGGTGGGGGCTGACCCCAGCGCCCCCTGCTCTCCAGTGTGGCCACTACGACCCAAAACTGAGCACATCACCCTCTGCTAGCTCTTCCAGGACAAGCCTAGAAGAAAACTCCGCTCACCTCTGGGTTCAGGTTGCTGACCAGCAAGACGGAATTTCCTGCCCCTCCCAGGCCTGGGATGGCGATCCGGCCTGCTGCTGCTGCCGCCGCCGCCGCAGATGGAATGGCCAGGGGGGCCAGGGCACCATGAACATTAGGAACAGAAAGGCCTGGAAAAGAAGAGATGGTCAGGAGGTGACCAGTGGTGCTCTCGTTCTACCACTGAGCACCGTGGCGGGAGGCGGGACCTGCCTCCACAGGAGGGGCCCTGGGGTCCCCTGGACCCCATGCACAGCCACACCATGCCGCCTGCCCGCCAGTGCACACAGCATAAGACTGTGCTGGGTCTGTCCCCG